TACGGATGTGTTCTCTTGTGCCTTTTCCTAGGACAAATCCCGCTTGTCTTTCTGATATATGAGGCAATAAAAAAGCTTTTAGTCTTTCATGTACTACATGAAGTAGTACCTTGCTTGCATGGGATATTAGGGTTACCGTTATGTAGTTGCTGCAATCTAGCGGAGTTCCTTTTTTGAAGATAGGGATGAAAGTGGATTTTGTCCAGTCGTTGGGCCACTCTCCGGTTTCCCAAATCTTTTTGCAGATCATATGCATAACATTTACTCCAACATTTCCAGTCTCTTTTAAAACTTCTGCGGGGATTTGGTCTGCGCCAGGAGATTTTCTATTTTTTAACTTTTTAATTGCTTTTTCTACCTTTGACTTTAGAATGTTTGGTTGTCTCTCTGCAGTGAACTTGTCGTGATTTACATTCTGGGGATCATCTGCATATATACTTTGACAATATTTTCTCCATACCTTCGCAATCCCTTTCTCGTCATTTATAATATGTTGGTTTTGATCCATTATTGTTTGTGTGATTGGTTTAAATTCCCTGGATATATATCGAACTTTGTTATATAGCCCATGGGATTCATACCGGTTTGCATGTATCTCTTTATAGTTCTTCGCATTCTTCATTTATATGTTTATTTTTATCATCCCTACATGCTCATTTAATTCCTCTATTTTACCTTGCTAATTCGTTTAACGTTTAACTTACCTGCAGCAATAACAGCTTCAGAACCTGTTTAAGGTCATGTTTTTGATCTTAATTTTAAACATAAAAATTTATTAGCTTCCCTACCGGAAGTAGATGTCGACATTAGGAATAGACGTGGAGAAAACTAATTTTATTGCGGGCATACTTCTTCTGATTTGTAGTTTCTACGTGTACTCTTGAAAAAAGTACCAATACTCAAATTTCAGTACCAAGTTCTCGGTACGATCAACATTTTAGTCAAGAACAGATTTACGATCTTCGAAAGATCACGTACCGAGGTTTGAAAAATTCGGCAGGTAATTAACAATACCTGTTTATTTGTGTAAACGGCTCGTAAGGTGGTACCTGATACTCTTCTTAATAAATAGTAGCGAAATGGAGGTGAAAGTCACGTACTGCTTGTTTAAATTGAGTTTTTGCTTTTAGGCTTTTATGTACTTTACTGTTCTCGCTTGTTATGGGCGTTAGGATTTTTTTATTACATCACAATCATTGCAAAATTAACCCTAGAATACTAAACGTTCCTTTAACATACGTAAATTTTACGTACTCACTAATTTAGATCTAGTATTTTCTCTTTATTTCAAATCTAATTAACAAAATGGTTTGATTTCAAGAAAAAAATATTTAGGAATGATACAATAAAAAAAACATTAAAATATTAATAATCTAAACATAAACAACATAAAATAGATACTTTTAATAGTAATATGTACACGATAAACCTGTGTATATAACCATTACAAATATAGAAACAATAACCTTCTATTGATGTACACATTCCATACAAATTTTTATTTGATGCAAGGCACTCCCGCGCTTGTAACATTTGGTAGTTGTCATTATTTTCTTTGCTGTAGGGCATAAACTACAGTAAGTCCATTTTTTTTTCCTTTGTAAACCTAGGCGGTCTTCAGTAACTGGCGTTAAATTCAAAAGCATGGAAAGACTCTCTTTGAGACTTCTTGATAAAGTTGGTACTTATTTGTTGCCTTGGTTTCGTTAATTGTTCATGAAGTTTAAGCATACAATTTAATCTGGATAATGGTTCTTGCTTGTTTGTTACATTGTGTTGGTAGATTACAAAAGCATTTCTTCTTCTTCTTCGTCTAGCCATTCACGTCCACATCTGAACATAGCCTCTGCAAGTCTTCCTTTCTATTTTTTTTATTGTACGCTACTTGTAGCCAATTTTTCCCGGCAGTCCTTTTCAGATCATCTGTCCATCTCATAGGAGGTCTGCCTCTGTGTCTTTTGTGTTGGTATGGTCTCCAGGTTAAAATTGATCTGTGCCATTTGTTTAGATCGCTCCTAGCTACATGTCCAGCGTATTCCCATTTCAACTTTAATGATTTTTGCATCACATCGGTGACTTTGGTTTTCTGTCTTATCCATGTGTTTGTTTTCTTGCCCTTAAGTGCTCTTTCCATCGCGTTTACTCCTGCAATATTCATCATATTGTAAAATATGCATATCGGTCACTTTCTAGTCTTCCTATTACAGCAAATATTCTGAGACATTTGGTCAAACGTATCTACAGCAGCTTTAGTTGAACTATATGTATGGATTATTTCGCATTTTGCTGTTTCATGGTTATTGTTTCCAGAAAAATGCATAGTTGAAAGTAGAACTGTCTTAACATAGGCAACATGTTAATATGGCAACAAGATAATAAAGTAACATTTTCATCGTGCACAAAATACTTGAACCGCACTCCCAGTTTTGTTATCGATCAATTCAGGAGGTATTTCTCCTTTATTATTTCGGAGTGTTCCACCACTATCAAACTGTAAGAGGGAGATAATAATTTATTCGGAAGAGCGATGCTGGAAAACCAGTTATCCATTGTCACATTACGTCTACTTCCATGTAAAGGTCTCATCAGGCTTGTGACAAAATGTTCTGCTAAAGGCATGCCGTTGGTTACAGTAGATTTATTACATATTTCGTAGCCATATCGTAAACCATAAGTATTTTTATGCTGTATTTACTAGGTTTGTTTGGCATATACATGCGAAATGGACACCTGCCACGAAAGCCTACTAGTTGTTCTTCGATGGTCACATATGAACTAGCTTTATCATTTTTGACACAGTTGTCAATAGTTGACAAGGTCCAAATTTTAGATTTTGGAGCAAAAATTGCCTTTTTACGTTCTTCTCTTGTCAAGATGTTATCAAATCGTAAAGAATTGATCAAAACGTTAAACCTTTCTTTCATTGCTCTACCCTCAACCAGCTACTCATCCATGCCTATAATAAGTGCCATCAAACAAAACATCAGCTGAGAGGTGAATATTTTAAAGCTGCAGATAAAAATATTAAAATAAACCTAACAGCGCTTTTAGTTCAGCCAATGTCGTTTCTAGTATGGTAGCTTTTTTGTCTGGTATTTCTCTCGTAACTCTATAGTTTCTATAGCATCTTTGGCTAATTTGGATGGACCTGGACGTATATAAACAATATTTCTGGATTCGACTTTACAACCTCTATCATTTACTGGCAAATTACTCCACTTATAACCGTTTTTATCTACTAAAGACTGTTTATCCCATATTATAACAGACGATTTTTTTGAATGGGGACCAAAGAAATCCAAATATTATGTTATGCATATGAAACAGAAGACGAGCTCCAAATATTAACACATATCTTCACTATAACAGCCAAGAAATACAATATGATGATATCAGCAGAAAAAAACCAAATGTACGACAACTACCTACTACGATGTAAAATCGAAATTGATGGGAAAATAATAAAGCAGGAAGCAAGGTTTAGATATCTCGAAATACATATAACTAGTTACGGGTATGTTGAAGAAGAAGTACGACAACAAAGCTTAAAAACAAGTAAAGCGTCGGGATCTCTTAATCAAGCAATCTGGAAGAACAAACACCTAAGACAAGACACAAAAACAAGAATCTATAAAGTAGCAATTAGACCTATATTAACATACACGGCGGAGACAAGACCTGACACATCTAAAACGAGACGACTACTAGAAACAACAGAGATGCAAAATACTTCGATGAGTATCAGGGAAAAGTTTGTTGGATGGGGAGAGAAGCGAAAACATAACAAGGTCATGCAATATAGAAGACATAAATGGATATGTGACAGAACGGAAACAGGAGTGGAACGAACACATTAGTAGAATGGCAGAGTATTTAATAGTAGGAATACTACTAGATAAGTCACCAAATGGCCGAAGAAGTATTGGCAGACTAAGAAAAATATGGTGCGATAATTTTTAAACAATTTAGGAGACTAATATTGAAGAAGAAACAAGCTTTAATGCCTACATACAAGAAGGAAAAGGAAGAAGATTTTTGTTGAATACAGTTTCAGTATATGTTGATTCTGATGACGGCGGCTGCGTAATTTTAATTCTTTTACGAGAGCACGTATTTCTTGTTCCTTAATGAGTTTCTGCTAGTGTATCTGCCCAGGTGTTAGCTAGTTTTGTGAAGACGTTTTCTTCGTCCTGCGCAGGATCATAGTATCTATCCTCAATGCTATCTTCCCTGTCAAACGGATTTTCTAACTCCTCTAGATCATCTGTATGACTGAAGTCACGTAGTTCTCTATAATTAACCTTCCTGGAATTCCTGTGGAAGACTTCCTGGAAGAGTTTTCCACAAAGGTTGAATATGTGAAAATTAAGAAAACTTTTAAATATGAAAATCAGGAGCCTTTAGTTAATTAGAATGTGGAGGGAAGAATTCCTCATCTCAGCTCAAATGAAAAAAATAGCAAGACGAGAACATTTAGAGAAAATGAATAAAAGTGTAATCTAATAAAAAGCTTAAGAAAGGAAATTTAATGAATTTTCTGTCTTTTAATTTCTTTTATGTTTTTAAATATCTGTTTTAAAAATTCCACTTTAATAAATAGTTTAAACTATAATAGATTTTTCTGGATTTATTAAAAACACGTCATTTTTTCCAATATTTTAATGGAGGATACATTTTGTGTGCACTACGCCAATGAAGCAAATACACTATTCGGAACTGGTAAATGAGCAGAACAAGAGAAACTGGTCAGTTACTTTCATTATTGATATTATTGTGTGAAAAAGGAAAGGTTGTAATTGTTGAAAAAACGATTGTCTACTGGTGTGCACCATGTTTATTGTTCTAATACAATTAAAAAACCACTTTAATGTTTCTCTAAATGGCTACCTGTTCGAAATGTAAATTCGCAATTATTCTCTTACGATACTTCTAAATTGCACTTTTCTTTACATTACGATTATTTCATATAAATGAGGATGTCTAGACTATGTAACATAAAAATGTCAGCAGCGACGAAGTCATTAACTACTATAATTATTATAGATTATACATTTAAAAAATACATGACAACAGATGCACAGATAATAAGCAATTTTGTAAGTTGTATATTAATTCATATGGTCCATATTTATTCTTAATTTATATAAAAGAAGTGTAAATTTCTGAAACTATTTTATTATATAATTTATATGTAAGAAGATATTGAAAATGCTTCGCTAATCTCTACTTCCACTGATGACTGTATTTATAATGTGGTCACAAAAATCGCTAGCATTACCGTGTCCAACATGTACAAGCCACCTGCTACGTCTTGGCCAGCCCAAGCAATTTACATCCTCACCCTGCTGTATATGTTGGAGATTACAATAGCCATCATGAACAGTGGAAGTACAAAAATAGTAATGCGAATGGGAATGCTTTAATAAAATGGACAGAAGACGAATGCCTGTACCTTTTGTTTGATGCCAAAGATCGACCAACCTTCAGATCCGCGCAGCTTACAATACAGTATGGAGAGAGAGTCTTATATACAAAATTCTCCGTACAATCCCCTGTAAACCAATAGCACGCCTAATAGATAGTATGCTCAACGACGACAATAGAAACTTAAGAATGGCCTACCACATTTGTCAGTGCTCTCTCCACTACTATTTAGCTTATTCTTAGTAGATATGCCGAAAATAAAATCAAGAAAGTTCGGATACGCCGATGACTGGGCCCTCACTACAGGATACAGAACACAAGAAACGTCTGAAGAAGTTCAAGCAAGCAAGCAATTTAATTGAACCCAGGCTATGAGAAATGTTCACCCAGGTAGTACGATCGGGTGTAACAATTCATTGGAGCAAGGTGTGTTAACTCGAGTAAAAACAGGAGTCACCCCACCGTGTTCCAATGCTCTAGACCTGAAGAAGTCTGAAGTCTGAAGAAGTTCTGACGGCAGACTTATATATATTGGGCAAATATTTTCGCAAGTGGCGACATTAACCGAATGCATCCAAAACAGAAGTTAGTTGCTTTCACCTGAACAATAAACTTGCTAGAAAGCAACTCAATATATGCGTGTGCTTTGAAAATACCACACTTATCCACAACAAAACACCGAAGTACCTGGGCGTAACACTAGACAGAACGCCCTCATTTAAAGAGCATTTAACAAAAAACTGTCCAAAAGTTGAGTACAAGAAATAACATTATACAGAAGCTCTGCGGTACCACCTGGGGAGCATCGGCTTCCACTCTCCGCTCTACTGCCTTAGCGCTTGTTTCTCTCCCACCCAATGGCTTCCAGTATTAAGTCACATCGCACCTCCACATTTACGATGAATTGACGCACTTACACGTGAATACAGAAAGATCATAAACAATATAAACCTGCCGAACCACCAAGATACCGAGGATGCACGAAATACCCGATTCCGTTCTAGAAAACCACCAATGAAAACAGCAAGAATGATACAAGAGGAGTTCAACATCACGAATGCATGGTCCCAAGAATGGAACGCATAGCAAAATAACATGCCCTGCGTTACCCACAAGCCACCATGTTTTGATCTTCCACGCAAATCAATAGGATCCGAACCAGACATGGCAGATGTGCATACATGCTACATAAATGGGGAAAGAACCCGTCTCCTCAATGTGACTGTAGGGAGAACCAAACCATCGACCAAATTATTGAAGAGTGTCCCTCGAGATCCTACAATGGTAGCCCTGAAGACTTCCTGTTTGCAACTTCAGAGTCAATTGATTTATATTAATACGCATGATTTTGGTTGTAAACTATTTAAAGTTTGTCATATACCTATATTACTAGTGTTTGTTCTTTTGTTCTAAATGTGTTGTAATTGCCATACGATAAATAAGTTTTTTCAGTATCATTGCGTAGACTTTGAATTTTATTGCAGATAAATATCTTCTTCTTCTTCTTCTTCGTCTAGCCATTCACGTCCACATCTGAACATAAGCCTCTTCAAGTCTTCCTTTCCATTGTTTTTATTGTACGTTTATTGTACGCAGATAAATATATGACTCTATAATTACTATAAAGACTTTGGTCTCCTTTTTCCCGTATGCAGGTAATTAGGTTGTTACCCCATTCCACTGGAATCTCTCGAGCTTGCGATATAATTCCACCAGCCATCTTTGTTAATATCTTCTGGTTCTCGTTTTTTTTTTGTCTCGTCTTCCATTAATTATTTTAAAATTTACCTGTTTGTGTAGTAATCTCTCCATATTTTTAGTTATCACTTATTTTTGTTTTTAATTCATTTTCATTATCCATGATTTCTTTCCTTTTATCTTTATTCATAGATCTTATAGTTTACCAGAAATGTCAGCTATTTGTTGTGTATTTTCATTTATTTCTTTTACAAATTTTTCTCAGCTTCTTCTTTTTGTTGGTTTTATTTTTTTTATGATATCCCAAATTTTTATATACCGTTCTTTATCTTACACGGAAAAAATACGCCAATAATAATTATTTAGAAGTTTGCCAAAAATTATCTGCAGTAACCTAAACATTTTTTGAAAAATTTAAATATTGTTTGATCCAAAAAATCTCAGGCAGCTAAAAATTTAGCTAAAGGGGTTCATAAATATGTACTTTCGACTGCCCAATCCCAAATAAGAATTCAGCCATTTCCACCCAAATAAGATAGAAGATTTTGTCATCTTATCCTGCTATAGCCTTTCCTCAATTACTTCAAGTTACAGTAGTTCTAAGGCGCACTAAGAAGAACAAGAACCCATCTAAAAGATTTTTTCGGTTATCTCGAAAACTTTATAGCAAAATTTTAGGATACGTCCAAATTGGTCTGCTAATTGAGCGCTTTCTTATAACACATCTTAACCTTGAGAGGCGCCTAATGTTTATGTTCTGATAATACATATGAAGGGTACAGGTCCATAAAGAGCTAAGTCACCAAATGTTTATTTCGTACAAAACGAAGTTTAAATTTTAAAACCAGTTATTGATAAATTATTGATGGTTATCATGACCTCTATTGATTAGATCAGTTACTTAAGTAATTAATGAAACACACAGAAGAAATTAAATTTATATTGATATTATAAAAATAGAACAGAAGCTTTAATTGGTCAAACCACCAAACATTATTGGCCTAAAGGGGCCAAGTCCAAAGAAAAACAAGTTAAAATGACAAGTAGACAAAAGTTATTAATATGAAATAATTCTAATTCTTAGGCAGGTTATCAAAAAATTGTTTTGCTTCGTCACCACAGAATCGTTTCAAATCTTGTAGGCATTTAAATTTTTTAGCCGAGATTGGTAAAAGACCTAAAAATAATGTTGTTTAATAATAGTATTCCAAGATATTAATAATTTTTTATACCTGAATAAGAATACGGAGGAAGTTCACATTCATTTTGTAGTAGCACTGGTCCCTTTCGCTTACTATCTTTTTCCTTCACTATTGCTGACTCCCATGCTCCATTATAGGACTCCCGGTAATATATCAATCTACGATGATCTTGATGTATTTCTAATTCTCGAATTGGACCGGAACTGAAAGGACATTTCTTCAAATAATCTGTTTTCGTATTAAACAAATTCGTCCATGCTCGAAAGTAGGATTGATCTATTTCCACAACGTCAAAGGGCGATGGTTTTGCACGAGCACTTCTAAAAATCTCAGCTCGTTGTTTGGAGTTTATTAAGCCCATATTTTTATCCGGTTCCACATAGGAATGACCACGAATAGGGAAAGTAACTTTAACATAATCAAGTCTACGTGTATTGTGGACAATATAATGCAAAAAACGAATCACATGGTGAAATTTTTATTCTGTCCCCCACACGAGTCGCAGAATATTTCAAGCGATCTTACTTGTATATCGAGAAAATTCCAAAGAAAGTCATTCAGCATTGAGCATACATCGTCGCTTCCCTTTTTGCCAATTGTTTCCGGGTAAATGTAAAACACACTTTTTGCTGTAGATAGAATGTGGACATTAAAGGCATAGACGTTCAGCTGGCTCTTATAGTAAACATCGTTTGTTGTTATGTTTGGGATACTGAGATTTTTTCCAAAATCGACACAAATAGCTTTGTGAGTCACAGAGGTTCGAGTTTTTTTCTTCGCAGATCTTTTTCTACTATAAAATACCTCCGCCTTTCTTTTGTGTACATCATTTTGTATCGTAAGCTGGCGTATTTCCTTTTGCAAGCATTCATTTTCAACAAGATCGAAACTACTGTTTAAAATATCAGACTGAAGAGATTTTATTTTTATAAGAAACTCATCACAGGAACTACATGTATCAGCTCTGGGATATCCAAAGGCTATGTTAAATTTTGTATTAAAGACTGTTCTGTAAGACTCTTAAGATATTTTCATAGAAGGGTTCAACTCGCAAAGCATTTTGAACATCTTTTTTATGTTTAACTCTTCAGGTAAGTATAATTTTTTACTATCATTCACACTATAGTGGCTTTTCCTGCCTTTAAATGACTTTATATGTTCGTATATTGCTACAAGAACGTTGGATTCCAATTTTCTACGATGGTTTTTATTTTCTCCCCTTTTATCTTTAAGGGCGACTCCAGTCATTTTTAGTGAATTTTGTAATATCTCTATTTTTTTTTCTTTATTCCATGAATAGACATAAAAGCTTGTCTACAAATATTTATTTCTTTTAAGCTATTATCAGTGCTAAAACGTACCCTGTAAGAATATGCAGCACTTCTCAAATTTGCTTCGTTTTCATCTTTCCTAGGCCTTCTTCGGCGAATAGGCAGTACTGTAATCAATCCACATAAGTATGAGTTCTGCTCATTAATAGAAGTCATTGTGTTAAAATTTTTGAGTACAGTTTTTCTTGCTTCTTCGGGCACATTTTGAAAACATTGTTTACGACAATTACAGGTTGCACCTACCTCGTGACTCTGCAGTCTAATTTTTTTCTTGACATCTCTCATTCTGCCGTGCTTTTTCCTTTTTTTTATACATTCTGTTTAGGCACTACTTCAGTCTCATTTCCACTACTATTGTTTTCTGTATTCATTGTTATTTACTTTTAAATCACTTAAAAAACAATGAAAACAAACTAAACCGACGAACCTAACTCCAAACTG